CTTCTTATTTCCAACATGATTGCTGAAATTTCTATTTGTTAAGTACTATAATCAAGGGTTATACCATTCCATTGCCAATAGTGATTTTTTTCTCTCGGTTATGAGATGATTGTATTTTTTATTATGAATTAAATTTTTAACAAGATCTTACTCTTTTGTCACATAAGTTTGTTTGTAGTTGTGGAAAGATTCTATCGCATATTAGCAACAAAAGGAAACAATTTTGCTTTTCAATCTCATGGAGCGTACATCTAATAGTTGGAAGATCTTTTATGTAATAATCTAGTTTTTGGGAGTACAAGCACCGGATCAATGTTTTTCTTTCAAAGATGATCAATACAGTCCAAAAATCTTTCAAATTTGGACATGGATTAGGTTTGACTTAACAGGGGTAAGTTTGAAAAATATGTAAATATTTGCTCTTGCAACTAATTATTGCGTTGGTAATATCGCTAACCATTTTCAAATTACATCATGGTCAATCAGAATAAATAAAAGTAAATGGGTCATAATCATAAGGCTTTTATCAAACTTGATTAATTTTGGAAAAATGTTGATTATGGGCATTGGAAAGATAGTACTCCCTCCGTCCCATAATTATTGTCCAGTTTGAGTTTATATTTTTAGTTCAAATTGTACTAAAAGTGAAATCTCAAACTGGACAATAATTTTGGGACAGAGGGAGTAATTATTATAAAGGCATGGGATTCATTATATTCATTGTTATGAATATAAATACACTTTTTAATATTTTACCATTCGCTAAATGACTTATCTGCCCTTTTTTGAGGGGGTTCCATAAAACTTCAATCGGAGAAGAAAACTGAAGATAATGGCCATTAAACTTCTCTATGGAGATTATTGGATTCAACACTGTTCACTCGATAACTAATTTTGAAAATTTATTGTTCTCTTCTTCTTCCCTTTTCCATTTTTTTTTTCAATTTTCAAGAAAATTTGGCCCCCATTCAAGAATGGCAAATAATAATAAGCACCTAGATATACTTTGCAAGATGTACCTCATTGGCATGTGTAATACACTTTCCTTCTACACAAGTTGATTTATTTTTTTTTTCCTAATTTTTAGTTATACGCACATTAAATCCTCCAAATCTCATCCCATTTCTTTCTCACACATTTAATTTTAAACCGTTTTCTTTTTTGCTTATCAAGTTATCTTTTATATTATTTTATTTTATGAGAAATTTTTTTTATAGCTATGAATTTTATTTGGGTAAAATTGAATATGATTCATCATCGAGACTTATGAATCCGAAGAATCAATTGGAGCAAAAAATTTGAACTGATTATCAATTAAATCTGGAGAATTAAGCGTCAAATATGGAAGATTTTAATAGATAACGATGTTTGTTAGGATGAATTGTATGCTTATTGATGATAATAATAAATTTAAAATTTTAAAATGAATATAGATATCTACAAAGATATGAATAGCGAAGCAAATGTTGATGAATAATGATCCCACCCAAGATGAATAACAATAATAAAATGAAGAATAGATATATATTTGCATTATGAATACACATATCTATGGAATGAATAACACATGTTCAAATGATGAATGACATATATTTACAAGATGAATAACACTATTTTACAGTATTAATAACACTGGTAATTGTTTTTAACATATACGGTCTTGAATGATTCGTCATTGCTCAACACCTATATGTTGATTGTTTGATGTCAGCAACTCTGTCAAATATATGATACCCGGCCGATCGAGTTCATCTGGATGAGCATTTCTTTGCCACTGATCAAACAAAAAGAACACTACAATAAGTGAGATTTTACATTCAATCAAAACTCTATTAATCATTAATAACAATACTATTGAAGATGAATAATCATTTCGAAAATGGTAATATTACCTTTTTTCTAATGCTTGTGTCCTGTATTCCTCTTTTTTTACAGGTTACTCTATCTCCACTTCAACACTAATATGTGATGGTGTTTTTTGAGATCCACTAACTCTACTTGCTGCAACGTTTCAGTTGCTTCCCCCTATCCTTACTACTGCATTATGCCAAGAAATTATAATTTTAGTAAACTAATGGATAACACATTATCATTTAATGGATAACAATAATTTATTTGAGGAATAACCATAAATAACGAGCTCCATCTGATTGACAACAATACCAAAACTAATGAACAAGCATATGAATTTCAGCTTTCACATATGCAATACTCATAGAGTTATGAATAATCATTACACCAATGATGAATAACTGACAGAAATGACATTAACAATTCGATAAGAATTAATATTAGATGAACAAGAATATCATAGTTGATGAGTAACCACATATTATCATTGTTCATTTATCAAAATTGTAAACTTTTTGACAAACAGATGAATAACGAGTTTTAACGCATGAATATGTATGAAAAAAAATAATTTTCCATAAAAAAAAACCCAATATCCATGTAACAACAACGAATAGTTGTTGAACAACAGCATATTCGATGAACAATCATATAATGATAAATGTCAAACCTTAGACCGACAAAACCCACCATCAGAAAACAAAAATTGAATAATAATAATTAATAGTAGATGAACAATAATGACATATTTGATGAATAACCACATATTCTCATTTTTCATTCCTCAAACTTGCAAAAATCTTGTCAAACAGATGAATAACGAGTTTTCATAAAATGAATAACAGTACAAAACGCATGAATATGTCTGAAAAATGATGAATAGTTGATGAACAACAATAATTTTTTCGATGAACAAACATAGAATAATGAATGTCAAACCTCAGATCTGCAAAACCCATCACCAGAAAACAAGAATTGAAGTGATTATCTAGTTCCCATCTGAGATTTTGCAGAGCTTTCTTCCTATGAGAATTGATAGTTCCATCCTTCTACACAATATGTGAAAACTAATGAACAATCCCGTTTCGTGAACAAACCCAAAAAATACAAAATCAAAAAAAAGTGTGAATAAAATGATTTATTACATCAATCTTCATATTTTATTGAAGTTACTGAATTAAAAAAACCCAGATTCTTGATGAACAAAACGAATCCGATATCGCTGCCAGAGTGATAACGAAAACTAAGGTTTGATGATGGCGATTCTGGCGTTCCGGTGTGAGGATTCTCGCATGAAGGATGATTTTTGGTTTTGAAAATTCTTCTGGTCTGACGCGGATTGGAATTGATGAGATAGGAAGTTGGATAATGATCATGGCCGGAAATTAGGAGGAATGACATTATTGAAATTCCAAACGTCGCACAGAATATGGGATTAAATGGGCGCGTGTATTTTACTCGAATGGCATTCTTGTAAATTGGTGAATTTTCCTGATATTTGGGTGCGTGAGTTACACAAATGTGTACCTAGGTGCTCTATATTGTAGCTGTTCAAGAATATCTACAGAATTAGACAAAATTGAATCATCGGCGTTACTAATTTCCGGGACACATGGTATCACCTATTTTATTTTGAACATGCACCTCCAAAGTTTCTAGTAACTAATTGTATTTCTACATTTCCAAAAATCAAGATTAATTCATCCACTTAAGAAGATCACCCACTAATCAAGCATCAAATCTGCATATAACAATTTTTTATTTCTTGAAACATTGAAGTATTTTGCAAAAGATAGTTTTATATATGTTAATCAGTAGATTTGCATAGCAAAAAAGGTTAGAGTGGTATTAACCCTAAGATGATATGAAGAAGAGAAAGTTCTATGTGATAAGTTTGATTTAGGGGTTTGAGGTTCCAATGTTCTGCCTCAATTGGGACCGGAGTTTCTAACGTCACCGGTAGTTCAAAGAGATGTAAGTTTTTATTTTAGGGAAAACTCTAATGACTGACAAAAGAATGTTATTGTACTTTTTTAAGTTAAAGAATATTACAAGTTTTTTATATTCTTAAAAAATGAATTAATAAACCCCATGCTCTTTAAAATAAATATGATCTTTCTGATGTCCTTAATTAAAATTTTCCCATAAATTTTGTAGTAGTAGTGAAATTTTGAAAATTAATTTGAGGGAAAGCAAAAAAAAAATAAAAATAAAAATATAGGAGACTCTATCATATTATACAGTAATGAAAATAGTGAAACTTATATCTTTCTAATAACAAAAGTTTTTCTTATTAAAACAAGGTATCAAATGACCAAAATGCCCTTGTCGAGAAAGCATGTGTAAAGCTCGTGGAATATGGGTTGTCGGTGCTATTTAATGGCCGAAAGTAACACAATTACTCATAGTAAAATTTTTTTACTCAGTAATTACCTCTGTTGAGAATAAATTTTATAGTTAGCTCTTTTAACAGAAGTCTATAGTAAAGTTAATTAAAATATGGTTCACTTGTCATTTTTGCTAATATTCAATTGTTTATACATAGTGTTGACTAAATAGATTTTTAACTTTATGTCAAGATCATTTATAAATAACATAATCATAATCTTCACGCGGTAAAGTTTGATTACAAAACTGTCTAAATATATTTGATCATATATATCTACCCTAACAAATTTTAAAATCCAAATATAACGCAAATTTGCGAGTTTTTAGATAATGTATTTTTTTTGGGCCGTACCTATTAGTACTTTAGAGATACTTAAGCTATTATAACGGAATTAAAGTTTATTGGAGAAGGAAATAGTATTACTAAGAGAAACTCTATTCACGTGTACTTCTTGCTGGTGTGTCGAATCCTCCATGGCTGATGATGGTATACCTCATTACCTCCTACCTACTTAAGTTTGTTATTGGTCAGTTACCTGTTTTTTCCTCAACTTTTCGTGTACGTGGTAGGCATCGAATCATGAACCTCGTGGTTTACGAATCCTTTATAATGCATTTAGTGTAGCAATTTGTGTCGGTAAAAGGACAGGGGGTGGTTAGCCGCCTACCACTAAATGACAACAATCTCCATAATATTTAAATTTGTCCATATGTTTAGTGACTGTGCTGATACACATGAAATACCATTTGTCCCGATTATCTAGTGAATAAAGAAGTTTGAAGGGCCGTTCATTGTCGAGTTACTCCATTTCTTTTTTCTTTTCAGTGAATAAAGAAGTTTGAAGAGACGTTCACTGTTGACAACTCCATTTTTTTTTGCTTTTTAGTGAATAAAGAAGTTTGAAGGGCCGTTCAATGTCGACTTACTCCATATTTTTCTCTTTTTAGTGAATAAAGAAGTGTTAAGGGCCGTTCAATGTCGATATATATATATATATGTACGTATATATGTATGTATGTATTTTGAGTTCGGAAGTTTCCATTCGTAGGGTGTTTTAAATTAGTATTTTAGACCTTTGGTCTCTGTACAAAAAAGAAAAAATAAAAAATTTCTTTTAGTAAACCCCACTTTAATCTGTAAAGCAAAACTCGCCTCTTACCTATTTATCTATTCGAATCCACTTGCCTTACCACCAATCCATGACCTCAAATTTTCATATGATTACTCTCTCACTTAAAAAAAAAGGACAATGAACGTGACTAATATTATCTTGTATATGCGCATAAATTGAGTTTTAATATTAGGCAAGGGATTAATTGGAAATACTTCTCTGTTTGGACTTACCATAAAATTAACCCGACAACAGATAGTCAAGCAGAAAAGCTGCATCGCAGAGAACTCAATTTTGGGGGGGCGGTACTCATAATAATAAACTTTTGATTGAAGAAGCAGAGCAGCAGCAGCCTAAGAAGTATGGCAACAGCCAGCGAAGAACAAAGTGAGGCTTCAGTGGAACTTCTTCAGTTTGATCGAAAGAGCGAATTGCAAGCATTTGATGAAACCAAATGTGGGGTTAAAGGGCTTGTTGATGCAGGCATCACCAAAGTGCCTGGGATATTCATTCACGAGAAAGGTATCTTAGAGAAGAGAAGCATCTTAAACGCTAGGAACAAAGGTTCACCAGCACCCAAATTTCCAATAATTGACCTGGATGGTGTTGATACAAATCCAATCAGGCGCAGGGAGATTGTGGATCAGGTTAGAGATGCATCGGAGACATGGGGTTTCTTCCAAATAGTGAATCACGGGATCCAGGACAGTATTTTGGAGGGAATGATTCAGGGAGCTCGTAGATTCTTCGAGCAAGATAATGAAGAAAAGATGCGATTGTATACAAGGGATTTGACCAAAAGTGTGGTGTACGTATCTAACTTTGATTTGTACAGCGCACCAGCTGCAAACTGGAGAGATTCAGCGGTTTTTACCATGGCTCCTAATCTCCCTGTTCCTGAACAATTGCCGCAGGTTTGCAGGTATAGTACTTTTCTGTTTGAAATTAATCTTTTTCTTCTTTTTTTTTTTCTTTCTAAGCAGCTACTTCCGTTTTCAGAAACCTGGCTACTATTAATCTACTAGTATGATGAAAAGAGTACTGTATGGGTTATGAAGTGAATTTTAGTTTTAGGACATTGATGAAATTAGTCGTTTTGGTATTACCTGATTTGGGGTTGCTTTGAGTTTCTGCCAGTGAGATTTTGATAGATTACTCGGAGAAAGTAATGAATCTGGGAATGTTGCTGTTTGAGTTACTGTCGGAGGGCCTTGGACTTGATCCAAGCTATCTCAACGGAATTGATTGTGCAGAGGCACTTTCTGTCGTTTGCCAGTACTATCCAGCTTGCCCACAGCCTGAACTTACCATCGGCACCACCAATCATTGTGACCATGGTTTCATGACAATTCTTCTTCAAGATGATTTAGGTGGTCTCCAAGTACTCCATCAGAATCACTGGGTTGATGTTCCTCCCTCACCTGGACATTTAGTTGTCAACATTGGAGATCTTCTCCAGGTAAGGAAAAATGACCCTTTTTTTTTTCTCCTCTAAGTCCTACATATCTCTCCTCCGGTTGATTCGTTTAGATAAATGTTAAATTTGGTTTGGTTTATGATTTTCAGCTAATATCCAATGACAAGTATAAAAGTGCGGAACATAGAGTGTTGGCGAATCGAGTTGGTCCAAGAATATCAGTGGCCAGCTTCTTCAATGGCCCGCGTGCTAAGCTCTATGGACCAATTAAGGAGCTGTTATCAGAAAAGAATCCTCCAATATATCGGGAAACTACAGAAAAGGAGTATTACGATTACTACTGTGCCAAAGGGCTGGATGGCACTTCGGCTTTGCCGCATCTCAAGCTCTAGAGCAACTTGCAAAACATATACTCCCTCCGTCCTATAATTATTGTCCAGTTTTACTAAAATAAAAGATTTTATTTTGGTCAAGGTTAACTATATTTTACCTTAAACAACTGGATATATCCCTACATAAGTAATTGTTAACCACTAAGATTTTATGGATAATATTTTTTACTAAGGACAAATGTGTAACTTGATCCATAAAAAGTTAAATTGCACAATAATTTTGGGACAAAATTTTTTGGGCAAAGTGGACAATAATTATGGGACGGAGGGAGTACTATATCAGCTTGTTGTTGTAAGGTGCACATAAATGCCATCCTGGTAATTTCAACTAGCCAAAGTATCCGTAACGCAAGCATTAAATTGTATTTGAAGCTGGTGTTTGTATGTTCAAGGGCATGGCGTACTTTTTAGTTAGTAATTTTTGGGTTGTAATGTGCTCATAACATAGAAAAGCCACTATTTCTGCTTCATGGATTTAGACATCAACGCTGCAACATATATTTTATTAAAAATGGGTTCAATGTGGTGCCTTCACAAAAATGTTGAGAAACCAGCTGCTATATAAAACATTGGAATTTTTTCCCTGATAACAGCTCTCACTTGGTCCATAAATACAGCTTTTGTTTTCTTCATTCGACTGGGTGTGCAGAAGAAACTTGAAACTAAAAAATCCTCAGGCTATTCCCCAGTAATAGGACAAAATGTGCGTGATTGGTAAACTAAGCCCATTCTCTTAATTGAGCCCAATTTCGCTAACTGAGGCCACCAAATAAATTCAAAGCAGCAGGAGTTAATAGTCGAATTCGTAAATATAGTCAGGGGATTTCGTAATTAATCAAACTTTAAACCGCCACCGGATTCCTTGCCGTTAAGGGGGCGCGGTAATTTAAACGGTTGGCTTTCCTAATTTCGATGGGATTGCGATTGGATCCATTCTAATATAAGTACCCGAATCCAATGAACCGCGTAATTTCACCATTCTTCAGCTTCTTCTCACAGATCTGAAATTCCACTCACTAATCACTAATCTTTTCTGCAAGATCGAAAACTACTTTCATAGTCTCCAGAATCCATTGTTGTTCAATCTTCAAACAGTATGGCTGATTACGCGATGTTGGTTCAACGACAATACTATGCTCCACCTTCGTATTATCCTCAGCCCGTTAATGGTGGTTTCGGCAATGTTTCTCATCTGGATAGGCCTCCCCACGGAAATTATCGAAGACCCATGAATCAGATTCGCCGCCGCACTCAAGAACCCAGTGGGCAATTAAGGAACATCGATTTTTTAAGGTTTAATATCCAAATTCAGGATGAGACTGCTATCATTAGCCGGAACAATTTTAACACCAGATCCTATGTCGTTGATGAAACTATAATGCTAAATGGATTCGGATCTATGGATGAAGAAAACAGGGTGTCTCGAAATAAGGATATGTTGGCGGGAAAGATTTGGCGCCATCTCGGTACTAGAAACTATCAAGCGTCCCTTAATGCTTGTGGCCAAGATCCTGGCTTTTGTGTGGTTTGCCAAAGTGATTTTGCTGACGGTGAAAAGCTGGGGAAGCTGGAATGTGGGCATGAATACCACGCTGATTGCATTCATAAATGGCTTCTAGAGAAAAACGTCTGCCTTGTTTGCAAACGCACTGCAATCGCTGAGTTAGGAAGATGATTTTTCCTATGTGTGTTCCATTTATTGATATTAATTACACTCTGTAAACTCTGTTTAGATTAGTGAATAGTGAGGGGACACGATTTTCAGTGCCAGGTTGTATACTTCCCAAATTGGGGTTTTATCTTTTTGTTGAATATTGTTTATTTAATTGATTCTCTCTTTTCTTTTTCTTTTTTTTTTTGTATAATTAAAATGATGAAATTTGATGGGGATTGAAGCTTGGGCTTTGCTATTGTTTGTTACTATTGCTTTCATTCATTCTAATTTTTTTTTCTTTTTTTTTCTGTTCTGTTTTTATGATTTTTGATCAGCATTTACTGAGTTTGAAGATACTGATAAAAAATCATTTTTCCTAATTATGCACTGTTTAGATTGGCAGATAAAGAAAGGAGAATGAAGTGTAACCTTCTTCTTCACATCATTATAAAGTTAATACCTAATGTAAGGAGGGACTTTGCATATTTTCGTTCGTCCTCCCCCCTTTGTGAAGGCCTTCCCACATGCCACTTGGTTCGTTTCTCCGTTCGCATGCTCCTACAATGATGATGATGGTGTTGATGATGATACTGATGATCACAATGGTGATGATGATAATCATCATACTGCTGATTCTGCTAATGGAGACAATGGTTTTATGGATTACCATCCTGATATTTATCATAGTGATGAGAATTGGCCACCCCGATCTCAGGCAATGCAGAATGGCTTCCAAGATAATAGCTTTTATGCCAATGGTCGCTATGCGGCTCCAGCAGCCATGGCTCAACCTTTCACAGATATATCTGATGCCCAATCTAAAGGTACTTTTCATTCTACGTCTTCCCAATTACCCCGTGTCCATCATTATTAATGATATAGTGCAGGATGCAAACTCTTCTTTTGTACTGCCTGATTCCTTTTATCACATTCCGGAGATAACTTCTACTGAAGATCAATTGGATAGTATCGATCTTATTCCTGATATTTCATCCCCAATCCACCACACCCTGATTTCCCAGAATCTCCAAACTCTGTACTTGAAATTATTTTGTCAAACTACTCTGTCAATTCTGAAAAATTCTGTAATAGAGTAGGTGGTGGAAGCTGTGTCTTCCCCTAATCTCTCAGATTCTGATAGTGTTAGTTCACAAATTCCTTCTATTGGAATTCAAGAGGATTTTATGGATGCAATAGTGTACTATTCTAGTTCTGATGGCAAGTCTAAGAAGCATCCCAGAGCCAGTTCAGGTAAAGTCTCAGCAAAGAACAAGACCTCACCACTGAGAGGAGGTTGGACTATGTCAGCTCCAACCCTGGAGGATGATACTGATGAAGAGGATTCTGAGGATGCTGGTGAATCTCCTGTCCAAAATTCGCAAGTGTAGGTCAGATATGGAGGTAAGCAGTCCAGTAAGCTCTGTGCCTCGTAGGGTGAGACAATTCTGAAAGAGAAGACACCAGAGAAAGCGGGCTAGCTCCAAGAGAGTCAAAGCTCAATCCACAGGCAATGTTGGTCCTTGGCGCATGAAGGTGGACATAGACTTTCAATTTCTGACAGATTCTGACTCATCCGTCCACAACAATAAGAGATCAGCAACCAGTCAAGATGAGATTGACTCCAGGACTCAGAAGAAAAAGAATGCAGTTGTAGCTGAAGGGATGGTGCAGGACAAGTTACCAACAGGAACTGATTCAAGTTTGCCTGTTGAAGAGCTGAAGAGTTTTGCGATGGTTGAACCAGATCAACGACCTTCAATCTAATGAGTGTACTGTCCTGGAATTGTAGAGGCGTTAACAATGACACTACAAAGCTTTCTTTAAGTAGATTATATTCTTATTATAAACCTTCTATTGTGTTTTTATTGGAAACTAGGGCCAGTAGTAGTACTTTTGTGTTTAAAAAAAACTCTTTTGTAGTTGATGCTAATGGCAGTAGTGGTGTCCTAGTATTGTTTTGGTTGGAAGGAGTGAAGCTTACAATTTTGCTCCACAACTCTAATGTAATAGTAGCTAGGGTATGCGAATCCTCTGGAATTGTGTGGATGGGGGTCTTTCTGTATGGTCTGCATTCTAGACAAGGACAACATTTTGGGAGCAGAAGAATGCCAACATCAACAATTTCCAGTATCCTAGGATACTACTAGGCGATTTCAATCAAGTCTTACACCAAGAGGACAAGCTTGGGAGTAGACTAGTAACAGAACAGGCAACAAGGCCTATCAACACTTCTTGGAACGCAATGATCTTGAAGAACTCAAGAGCATTGGTTGTTGGTACATCTGGACCAACAAACGTTCCAACCAGGATTCCATTTTTGAAAGACTTGACAGAGCCTTTGTCAATAGACAATGGCTTTCACAATTCTCCAAGGCAGTAATTCATACCCTCCCCATCATGGCTTTTGACCATGCACCCATCTTGGTTCAACTCAAGGATAACAAGAAGTCCCCAAAGAAAAGGCAAAGGTTTGAGTGATTTTGGTCTAGATGTCCCAAATCACAAGATTTGGTACACTCAGCCTGGACACAAGGTACACTACAGTTACCAAGCCTTCAAGAAAAGCTTTCATATCAACTCTAATCAAGTTTGATTAGTCTACACAATTGGAGCAGTGAACAATTTGGTAACATTGACAAAAAAAAAAAAAGTCATTACAATTACTGCGCAATTGTCTACACTTCAAACTCAGTGGGAAACCAATACAAGTGATTCTGATCTAAGAACCTAAATGGAAGAAAAATCCCAAGAATTGGAAGCTGCTCTACAATATCAACATGATTACTGGCAGAAGCGATCCAAGCTTATATGGCCATTGCAAGGGGACAGAAATACAAAAATTTTTCATATGTGGGCAATAAGACGGAACGGTAATAATTGGATTACTGAACTAATCAGTCCAACGGGTAACTGTATTCAAGACCAAGAGCAAATGGCTTATTTAATTCAAGATCATTTCACTCAAATTTTCCAACCACCTGCTGATCAGTCCCAAGGTTCCTCATGTAATTCACCTTTCATGCACCAACTTCTGGAAAATGTCTAAGAGACGCTTACACATGATCAGACCAACCAGCTAGATCAACCTTTTACTTCAATAGAAGTGTGGGAGGCAATAAAACAAATGGCGCCTTGGAAAGCTCCAGGCCCTGATGGTATGCCTGCTGGTTTCTATAAGAATTACGGACATACCATAGGGAAAGATGTTGAGGCCACCATTCTGGAAGCCATTAATCATCAGGAATTTCCAGTGGAATGGAATCAAACTCATATGGTGCTGATCCCTAAGGTTCCAAACCCTGCTTCCCAGGCTGATTTCATACCAATAAGCCTATGTAATGTAAAGTACAAAATCATTACAAAAATGATTACCTGGCTTAAATCAATCATATCAGACCTCATTGATGAACATCAAAATGATTTCGTGCTAGGAAGAAACATCAGTGAGAATATTCTGATTGCACATGAAGTAATAGAATGTATCAGGAAAAAAGAAAGTGATTTAGGGTTGGCAGCTATAAAACATGACATGAGCAAAGCATATGACAGGGTATCATGGACATTCCTTGAAGCAGTCCTCCAAAAAGCATGTTTCTTGCAAAACCTAATAAGGCTTATCATGCATTGTGTCTCATCAGTATCATATCCCATCCAATTCAAAGGTGAAGGCTTTCCTTATTTCTTCCCAAAATGAGGACTTAGGCAAGGATGCTCCCTATCTCCATATTTGTTCATCTTATGTCAACAGGTCCTATCTTCTATCATTACAACAGAGAATCAGTCTTATCCAGGGCTAGGAATCAAGATAAGCAGAAATACACCAAGGATCAGTCAATTAATGTGTGCGGATGATAGCCTATTTTCATAGAATGTAAGGAGGAATCCATCCAGGCATTATCAGGGTTAATAGAGACCTATGCAGCCTTTTCCGACCAAAAGATTAATCATCAGAAATCTTCAATCATGGCAAGTGCAAACACTTCCTCAGAAATGAAGCTACTCCTGCATACTATCACTGGAATTCCATCGGGAGATTTCAACAACAAATACTTAGGCCTCTCTATGGATTTAAAGAGAAGGAAAAAGTAATTTTCAAAGAATTCACAACCAGACTTGAGCGGAAATTTGCTGACTGGAAAACGAAAAATTCTGACCTTTGCTGGCAGGGTTACTCTAACAAAATCAACACTCTCAGCCATGTTAGTGCATTCCATGGGGGTTTTTAAACTTCCAACTTCTACACTAAGGAAGGCAAAAAGTTTTATAGGCAATTTCATCTTAGAAAAGGGACAATCAGGGAAAAGGAGTGCATTGGAGATCCTGGAAAAAGATCACCAAGTCTATTTATCATGGTGGTTTGGGATTAAAAGCAACCAAAAAATTAATCAGGCTCAATTAGCCAAACATGCCTGGAAGATTCTATCTCAACCCTCCTCGCTGCTGGCTTCACTGTACATAGCTAAATACTGTGCTATAGATCCTTTCCATCAACAAGGACCATCCACGAATGCCACATGGGGCTATAGAAGCATCCTTTGGAGTTCTCAATTAATACCAGGCAATTCCAAGTGAAAAATCATCTCAGAAAGGAATACGCATATTGCGGATGATTAGATTCCTAATCATTCAAACCCAATTCGGAGAACATCCTTCTTAGTTATGTACTCTAATCTCATGGTAAAAGGTCCCATCACCTCCCGTAGACAATGGAAACTGCATTCCTCCGGACTATCTTTCCAGACCACATCACCCCACAAATCACAGGGATATATATTAATCCGTCAAGAAATTTCCAAGAGGATAAGCTCATTTGGACAAATACCAGTCATGGTAATCATTCAGTTCAGCCAGGATATCATACAGCTCTGAATCTTGATGGTCTTTCAGGGAATCAGCCGACTATTTCATCTCCACTGGAAATCAAAGCATGGAAAACACTTTGAAATTCAAGAGTTCAACCAAAGAAAAAATTCCTTTTCTGGAGGGCTGTTCTAAATGCACTCCCAACAAAAGCTGGTTTAAACAAAAGAGGTATTCTGGATGACCAATACTGCCCAAGATGCTTCACTCAGATTGAAGATAATATTCATATGTTCTTTAATTGTGCCATCTCTCAAGCAATATGGAGTTTCGCCTATCCCTCATTTCAATCAATTCTCAATGGTTCCTCCTCCACACTCCTCGAATGGTTTTGTAGTTTGATACAGACTTCTCCCACAAATGACGACATGGATCTTTTCCTAACCATATTTTGGAGGATATGGATTGAACGAAATGATAAAGCTTGGAGGTCACAAAGTATGGATCCAGTAATCTCATGGAGACTTGTACAAGATGATTTAACTCAACACAAGCTCTCGTTGCGATTCCAAAAACAACAAATTCAGAGCGAACGTCCTGCAACCTCACCCTCAACTACTAGTCATCAATTTGCAGTCATTGTTTTTTATGGCTCCTTTCATCCTATCACGAGGAGTTCAGCAGGAGCGTGGAAAATAAGAGCACTAACGGGCTTATTAATGCAGGTTAAAGTAGTGACGTTCTCTTCACTATCACCGTGCCAAACTGAAGCCACCACCTGTTTAATGGCTCTCCAACAAGCTTGGTTGTTCGATATCAGGGATGTCACCATCCACACAGATTGTGAAGAACTGACATCAACAAAACGAATTTCTTCGTTCCCGGTGAAAACTCAAGAAGTTGCGTCTAATATTAGGTCCTTAATGTCTAAATTTCATTCTTGTTCAATAGTTAAAGTTAGAAGAAATGAGGTAAGTGATATGCATAATCTAACATACACCAGAATGCAATGTAATAATGTCATTTCTTCCGCCTAATAAACAGGTACTTCCTAAAAAAAATACAATTTTTGTTTAATCTGCAAATTGTTGTTCTTTAAGTTTGTCTTGTTAGTTTATCTGAAAGACATTCTTCTCTAGTTGATTCCTTGCTAACATTATGGTTAATAAGAGGATCCTCAACTCCGGAGCCAAAAGCAAAGATGTGCTTGGACTTGAAGTTTTCAGCAGCTGATCCTGTTACCGCAGATTCGGCAAGTGATGATCGCAGGACGAAGCGGGCCAGGAAAACCTAATCAATATCTTGGTTGATCGAGGACAATTACTTTTGTGCACCTCCTGTTGTTTGTCCTTTTAATGAACGATTAGTCATGTGTTTAAACTTTCCTACCTTATAGTCATGGTATTCGGGCAATCCTTTTGTCCCCGAATTTGCAAGCAAACCATGCTTTTGCCCTGTACAAGTTTGAGCTGTCTGAACTTTGTATTCGAAACACGCTTGACATAAAGCGACGAACTTAAGTACCTTTCCTGTTTAATGTCAAGCCTTCGATAGTTGCTTCATTCAGTGTTGATTGTCCATGCAAGTATGGAAAATTACTTGCCTGGGATGATTCTTCATTTTTTTTTTTTGCTCACAGAGATACTTCCTCTAGGGAATTTTTGAACTTATGTTCCCCCATACTAAGCTTAAACCAAGACTTTCATAAATACACATAGAAATTGGTCGAGGGGGGGAATGCCCAAATTTATTACTACACATGTTAAGACTTACACTAATTAAAGACTAGAAGTTATCAAACATCACCATACAATGGAGCCAAACAACCCAATGAATTGATCAATCATTTCCACCAGTCAGCTTTGGAAATGCTTCTGAGTAGCACGCTTATGAGATGATTTTCAAATTCTCGCTCATGGTTTCACAGTAAAATGTAGATGCAGGTGCCTTCCAAATGTACATCCGAGAAAATGCTAAAATGTATATACCGGGCATGTAATTCTCTGCGCGATGCGCGGAGTAGTTCCCGGCTAGTCATATGGATAAAGAGAATGGTAGTATAATTTACTTGAAAAGACATCTTGCTTCGCATTCACCAAACCTCTGCGTCGGGTGTTCTAGTTGCCTTGAGCCCAATTTATTTGGGGTTTGACTCTGCGCTTTCAGAGGCTTCAATTTTTTTTGTTCATTATGCGGAATGTAAATTTGTGCCTCCTGCAAACAAGTTTTGAGGTGTGGGAGGTCTTATTTCTGCGTCGGACGGAGAGAGTACGCCTTTGAATGGTGAAACCAAAAAAGTAGTGATTTTTAATGTAGATGACTCTATGCAGAGCTCATGCTGTAAGATGAGATTGTTTCGGGTTGATATGGGTCCAACTCGCAAGTTCGTTGGTGGTACACAAAGTGTTTGAACCATTTTTCTGCTGTAAGATGAGATTGTTTCTGACTGTTCCTATTTTTCTCTAGGTTCTTGGACATTTTCACCACTAATTTGAGAAAAAACAGATTACTTATACGTAAAGAGTAACACCTTACCAGAACACTCCCTCAGATAACCTCATCAGAACACTCCCTTAGTTACAAATTTCAGCGCAGATGAGGCAATAGTTTCCTTTCACAGCTGGATCAGAAACTCATATGGGTAGAGACACTAAGCAGAAAGGAGAATAGATTCGATGTCCCCCCGGAAAGTAAAGTGATTGGGTTTCAAGCAAGCTTTGTTATTCCCATTGGCCTTGACAATTCCAATTCATCTACTTCCTATCTCAGAAGTGTTTATAGAGCTGTAAATATGTGAAAGTGTTGTGCAGTGTTTCAAAAAGAGGCTTTCAAATTAACAGGCCAGAAATGGCATTCTTCTATGTGCAGTGCTTTTAAATTAACAGTCAAGAAATGGCATATGCCATGGCATCCTCCTAGAGGGGACACGGTTGCTGTTTTGTTTCCTGAGGTAATACAGAACATTGAACTCCAAAAGACTTGAAACATTAAACACTAAACCCAACAAGAGACATTTTATCACACTAACAGACTGAAATGCATCCATAACAATGCTTTACTAACCAAATTTAACCAAATGTACTTGTCGCAGCAACTGAAACAATAATAACTACTGGCAAAACTAAACCAAAAAGGATGTGCAGCTTAAATTCACTTTCGTCATAAATAGTACCAACGAACATATATGGTCTGCAGCAATCTCACAAAACTTAAGCATTTGTAGATGATAAAAAGGACTGTTCTACTACAAAATATCGTCTAATGATGACCACTTAAGCAGTGGGGAGATTCTGGGCCTTGTTAAGGATGACACCTTCATACTTGACCTGGAACCACTTCATTGCGTCCTCCTTGGTAACTCTGTGCTGGATCCCAACGCGAGACTTGCACCTACGTCGGCGAGCAACCCGGTACCCAGCACGTTCCAAGACAACGTAGAAGTCCATACCATAGATACCAGTGGACGGATCATACCTAGTTTATACAACAAAACAGAAATACATTACACGCACAATCAATCATCGTTGCTTAAAAGTTGTACACCAGCAGGAAAGAGAGGATACAAAGACATTCAATCAAAGCCAGCAAATAATATGCTGGATTAAAACCTTCTGATAGCAACAGGGATTCAATGCAAAATAACAACCAAAGAAAACCCTTCACCAATAACTCAACTGATTTAACATCAAATAATCTACAGCCAAATAGCCAACCCACCACCCTTCTTTCACCATATTACACACTAATTCTGAATCTAAATTGATATGGCAGGTAAGCTGAGTTAGATCTGCTTCACCAATAAGGCAGAGCAAATTCAAATATGAGTTAGATCTGCTTACTTGATTCCAAGATCAATGTGCTCTTGAATACCAAAGCCGAAGCAGCCAGTGTCGCTAAAGTTTCTCCTGAGCAACTCGTACTCCTTGACCTTCAAGCCACTCTCAAGGAGTTGCATTGCCTTGTCACCCCTAACAGTGACATAGCAAGCAATCTTTTCATTACGCCTGATTCCAAAAGACCTCACAGTGTATCTAGCTGTAAGAGACATAAAAAAACCAGGTGACAAAGAGTTTCTCATCCTCAAACACACTATTCATAAAACACACATCAGCAGAGTAAATGAGGGGGGAAGCACAAAAGAAAAACAGTTCTTGACATTAAAAACCATAGCCAATCACAAATTATCAAAATATTGATTGCATTTACAAAGTACTAATCTGGCGAAAGAAACAGAATAAACAAATAGAACTACAATAGGGAATCAACAGGAAATCCGTCACAAATATAGGCTCATATCTAATCACCAGACTGATAACATGTCCTAAACAACAGCCAGATAAAAAGCCTTCTTATCCCTTTTGAAGGGCAACAAATTACATTACACTCAACCTTTCCCCAAACAAACACCAAACGCAAAAGAAAAAACACTTCATGTTTATTTTATTTAGGTCTAATTCACACACCTAAAACCTAAACTCATCCTTTCAAACATCGCATCTGAAATTTTCAATATTCCACAGAAATTATTTCCCCACAATAAATAATAACAAAGAAACTAGTTCGGGGAGGAGCGTACCCTTGGAGAAAACAGGGGTTTGGCCGCTAAGTTGTTCCAAGACCTATATCAAGACCAAATAAAAAAAAGGGGAAAAAGGTGAGTTACTTTCCTCTGCTTCCATTGAATAAACGAAGCCTGGACCAAATGCTCAAAACAACAAACTGAAAGTTATTTACAGGGTGCGGCAGATGTACCTTAGCAGCTCTGGTGAGCCGATCTCCGCTCTCTCCGACGGAGATGTTCAGAACCAACTTCTGTACCTTGATTTCCCGCATCGGATTACTCAACTTCTTCTCGGAAGCCTGAATCACAAAAACAATTAAACCGGCGAAACATTATATTCACACTTATAAAACTACGATTCAAAGCAAAGAGATTCAGAATTCACGGCGAAGGGAAAGCTTACCATTGCTGCGGCGCGGCGATGGAGAAAGCTGCGGGAGGGTTTAGAGAAAATGAAGAGCTGATGTGAGAGTGACAAGAAACCCTAATTTGCTTAACTCTATATATATAACACACAGATGATGCTGCATTTCCGATTATACCCTCCTCACGTTAACTAGGGATTGTGTAGAATTCTCGCCAAAATAAAGATGTAATTATGCAAATATCAGTATTCCTCCTTGTATTATTACAGTATTTTTATTTTTATTTTTTTTAAAGATGGTCCTTGTATTATGTCGTTAATTAAAACATACGCACACATAGCTTTTTTACTCTCTTTTTTTTTTCTTTTTCTTTTGTTTTTTGCACTGAAAAGAATACATATCATTTTTAGAATTTAAAGGAAAAATGTGTTTACGAATAAATTGATGATGGGCCAAATTAATGGTCAGTTGCAGGGCTTGGGAATCACTTTTTCTTTCAGTTTTTCCTATTTGGGCCAAACCTGAGGTACGGGCCGTACTGCATTCAATCTAGCCCAAACGAAACTGCTAATACCTCCACACAGTCCATCTTCGCCAGGATGAATTGATTTCAAAAATTAGATACTCACTCTATTGCAAAAAAAAATAGTACTAATTGATAGACTATTTTGTAGGACCAAAAAAGTACAAAATTAGTCGTAATGCAAGAATTTTTTTGGGTGAGTGTCTAATACTACTCAAAGATATTGAAACTTTTGGGCATGTTAGTGAGAGATTCATAGGTGATCATCCATGAAAGAATGATTGGGTACCGGTGCGAGACTTGAACTGGTTTTGGTTCATTGACATCCGCTATCAGTTGACTGGTCCAATATTAATACGGACTTTAGGAATGACATTGAAGGGTTAATCCAAAATTGTTGTGGCCTGCGAATGTGTGAAGTTATGAGGTTTGTTTGAAGGGTCCAACTTGCATGATGTCGTGGATATCAGAAAGGTGTAAAGGGAAGTTGATAAGTAATATGGTATAGACATGATTAAATCCCAGAAAGTAGAGATCAGTATATGTGAGAATAATGTTAGAACTATCGGAGAGAGAGGAAAGGTCATTGGAACTAAACGTATCTTTAAGAAGGTAAAGTTTACGCCCCAACTATTTGGCTACTGTGTGGCGACTGCGCCCGGAGGTTCCTAGCAGGGCCAGCTCAAAAAGGCAAGCAATGAAGCTAGGCCATTAGTCTCAAAATTTTATGTGTTATCAATAGGAACATATTAGGTACATTACTCAAAAACTAACTATTTAAATTATATTGTTCACTTTTTCTTAATTTTCATGTTTGTCTAAATGAGCTTATTGAATTGGAACGGAGGGAGTATTAAAAGTATTAGGATTGACAAAAAAAAAATAAAAAATTCTTCAATGAGTTGAGATGTAATGTTTTCAATATAGAATTAATGAGCCATATTGGAACTAATAATCACGAGTTAAGTCGATACTACATATGAGCTAAACAATTGCTGTTTAGTAACAATTTTCAAGAATAAATTAATGTATTGATTCACTAATAATTTTATTAATGTCTTCCTAACGATTTTTTTTTAAAAAAAGGTGAAAATATTAATTAAGTTCATTCTATGAACTTGTGTGAAAATTAATACAAGTATAATAGATATATACTTTTTCTCAATACGGAAAAAGTCGTAGGCTTAAGCACGAAACATCCCTAAAGGAAGGAGGATGAGTTAGTCCTATCTTTATCGAGACTTTGTCTAATTATTGACGGAGGCATCCATAATATATGACATCCATACGGGCAATTTAAGGCAAATTTTGCGTGTGCTGCGATGACATAATTCGGGCGTCGAGTATGTTCAATTAAAATTCGCCACAATAGCCTCTTAACTCTAAAAGAACAAATTACTATTTACAAAGAAGAATTTTCGTCTGACAAAAACTCTTTTTTTTTTGAAAGCAACTGACAAAAACTCTACCGCCTCAAGAAAATTCATCCCAGTTGTACATTTCTAAAGCTTAATTCCCAGACAATTGTCAAGGCATGGAATGCATCCCAAAGTTCGGCTTCTAAGGTACTACAAAAACCAACCATGCTGCAAATCCAATGACCCACTCTATAGAAGAGTATATACTTGACGATCGTCGAATCCGTTTCGAATCCCATAACCAGACCTTGATTTCTGACCCCTCATCCCGAAGTCACAGTTGCTCTTTGCCTTGCAGAAGCCTTTTCTTTTCCTTTTCTTAGACGGCCCGGGTTGAGGGCCCAAGTTATTTAACCTAAACCGGACACTTTGTAGCGCAGGAACCAGCTCGAATTGAAGACCTCCAATGAGTTCAAATTTTAGATATGCATTTACTTCCCATGCTGCATTTCTAAGTTTAGAATTGGGAGTCGCCCTTGTAAACAATTTGGGATGATATCTTGGCATCCCAATTATTCACGGAAGGGTCACGAAGACTACATACAGTGAGGTTTTCGCTAAAATCCAGAATAGAGTTAACTTCTAGAACCCTCATCGTTTCTCGATGGCAGGCAGGCTAACAATCTGTCAGTCAGTCCTAGCTTTAATCCCGACCTATGTCATACAATCATCCATGCTCCCTAAAGGTACAACTAATCGACAAACTTCAAAATTTCTCTGGGGGGCTTCTCAATCTGAGAGGAAAATGAGCCTGGTTAACTGGGACACAGTATGTTAGCCTAAGAACGAGGTGGCTTGGGACTTCGCAAACTCAGAGACGTCAACACTGCATTCTTCCTAAAGCATGCTTGGGTTCTCATATCCAATGGAGAAAGCTTGTGGAAGACAATCCTGAGAGCAAAATATAACATCCCGGCAAGCACAATTCCTCTGAATGTTGAGAGGAGTAACTGCTCTATTTTTTGGAGACATATTGCAGTGATTTGGCCCAATGCTCTACAAGGAATGAAATGGCTTGTAGGCGATGGACAGACCATACGTTTCTGGTCTGATAACTGGGTGAATTTAGACACCCCACTTTCCTCTTACTCTCTAACACCACTATCGGCTACCGATATCCAAAAACCATTGAGTTCCTTCATCAACAACCAGGAAAACTAGAAGTAGTTTGAAATTCAAAATTTGCTGCCTCAACAAATCCTCGATCTCGCGAGGGCCATCTCTCCCCCAAATGTGGCCCTTGGAAAAGATCTACCAGCATGGAGATGGACAAAGAATGGGAAATTCACCACCACCTCTTCCCATATTATCATTGCAAGAAATAGATGGCATACTGAGCAACCAAAATGGAACCTCATTTGGAAGTGGCCCGGTCCTGAAAGGATTAGAACATTTTTATGACTGTTATTTAAAGAAGCTCTGATGACTAACTCAAAAAGATTGCGCCGGCATATAACCGATGACGAAAGTTGCCTATACTGCGGAGAACTGGAAACCTTTTTTCATGTTTTTCGTGATTGTCCAAGAGCCAAAGAGCTATGAAAATGCTGTTGTTCCAATCTGGACGACAGTTTTTGGTATAGTTCTATGTGGTCTGATTGGATTCTAGCTAATTTAAAATCTTCTGGCTTACAGGATACTCATGAATGGAAGTTTCTCTTTAGAGCAGCTTGCTGGAAATTATGGAAATCAAGGAACGAAGAAACTTTTGGCACAACCTTGATCTCCCTCACTGAATTCACAGGATCCACAAAGGCTTTGGTCAGAGAAATAGCCAGATCAAACAACATTTTTGCTCCACTTCAAAGATCGGCTCAGCAACTTTTCCGCCCCAGCATTGACTTCCCCCACCATGGGAATGGATTAAAATCAATGCAGATGGGGCTGCCACCAAGGCAACAAGCAAAGCGGCAGTTGGAGGCCTTCTACGTAACCATGAGGGCCTTTGGATCACCGGCTTCGCAGCAAACTTAGGTATTTGTTCCTCCCTAAAAGCTGACTACTGGGGAGCTTATTTTGGCCTGCAAATCTCTTGGAGATTTGGCTTTAAAAAAGTTATTTTGGAATTGGATTCTACAGAAGGCTAAACTATCTCACGCGCCTTGACAAGAGTACGCCATCAAGCAATGTTAAAAGACATATTTAGGCTTTATTGGATCTCCAATGGTCAGTGAATTTTAGCCTAATTCATAGAACAACTAATGAGGCGGCAAATTCATTAGCCAAGTTAGGTTTCTCCTGTCAAACGGAGTTACAGATTTTGTTAACACCCCCGGTAGATATGGTTGATCTTTTAGTAGAAGTAGATCATCCCTAGTCTAAGGGATGTTTTATACCAAGCTTCAAGCTTCCCTCCTATTAAAAAAAAAAAGCGCTTACTTAGACTGTGTGTTTAGAAGCGCATGTTGTAAATTAGATTAAGATTTATCGACTTATAAAAAAAAACCTAGTATTAAAATGATAAAATTCATATTTTTCATCTTGAAGTTACATTCTCCTATTGTGAGTATCTTAGTAACACTATTTAAAAATGACAAGTGTCATCATTTAACTAATTACCCGTACGTTAGAACCTTAGCATTTAGCAACAACTAATGGATAAAACAAAACATTGATGCAGCCTTCAAAAATCAAAACGTGTAACCCAAAAAAACAACAAAAAAAAAACCCCCTTTACTTATCTTACACCAGAGAAGCAACACGTAACCAAAAGCATGTATAGTAGTAATTTTCTTTTCCTCCCAACGAAATAGAGTACTAATTACAACGACGTTACAATAAAAATGAAATCTTTGGATCTATTTCTGATTTTTCTGCCACACCATTCCACGTCATTAGATGCCACGCATTTCAAGGCGCCAGCTGAGATCAGGCGCCGAAAATGGAAAAAGATAAAAACGTAGTAAAACCTCGTCACTTACCCGACTTTCGCATTCCAAAATCCCCTGCTCTGTTCTCTCGCCTTATATAACATCTCTCTTTCTCCCATTTGTTTTTTTTCTCAACTCCTACATCACCTTTACTGTGTGTTCCCACTTCACTTGCTGTGTTATTGATATTCGGTTAATGGCGCTCCGGACGATGATCTCGGGTCGAGCAGTTCGCTCCGGCGCCGCTATGGGAGCGCGATCCATTTCCTCCTGGTGGCGCAACGTCGAGCCGGCTCCCAAAGATCCGATTCTCGGTGTAACCGAAGCGTTTCTTGCTGATCCGAGTCCGAATAAAGTGAATGTCGGCGTTGTATGTTTCTTTTGCTTTTTTCTTTAACTCCATCAAATGCGCTGTCTTTTTATGATCTTAACTTTTAAAATCGAGTTTTTTTCGATCTTTCGTTTTGAGTATTTATTGATTGTATCGTTCATTTCATTGTTTTGGGTGTTCCTCCTTTTTTTTTTAATTTTTATTTTTATTTTTTTGTGTTGAAGGGAGCATACCGGGATGATGACGGAAAGCCGGTGGTTTTGGAGTGTGTTCGGGAAGCTGAACGGAGAATCGCCGGTAATCTTAACATGTGAGTAATTTCTATTGCGCGATTTTGCTACAAAGTAAGTGAAACGCTTCTATATACTAAATATTCGTACATTACTAGTCCGTGATATCATTAGAACTAAAACCAAAATCAAGAAGAATACTTATTTCTTTGGTAAAGGTTGTTGTTCCTTAATGGTATTAGGAGATGTTTACATAAACATTGTGTTTACTTTGAGTACTATTGATTATGAGAATAGACAAATCTGGTTGCTGGTAGTTCGAATATTTATTAAAGTTTCAATTTTGCGGTGGTCCTGTTTGTGGGGGCCTTATCTTCTGTAGGTTAACACCCCTTTTCCAGTCCCACTTAAATATTGATTCGCCTCATTTGGTTCTGTGCATTTGCTAACCACAGATTGCTCCTACTCATGCTTTTCAATAATGAGCCTTCATAGAATCTCCATTTTACAGATTCTTTCTCCATGTTCAATAATGCCTGGTCTCGAAATTTTCCTTGATAGTTATGATCGTCTTCTGTACGATGAATCATGACTGCAGAAAATTTTGGTTCCTGACTAATGTGCAATTAGAAATTGGTTATCATAACTGTAATTGTCAAATACAGTTTATTATTATTAGGGGAAAATCAAATGTTAAATACTTTTGTGGGGGGATTAATTTTCAATTGAGTTTCAGATCTCCAGCTTTTGATATGAAACTTCTGACGTATCCCTGAATGACTATGCATGGTGCTTTTCCCTGTTAAATGATAAATGGAGACCTTGTCACTATTATAAATCTTTTATGTTAGGGATGTGAATAATCACTTAACAAAGACACTGATAATAAGAAATGATAATAATTCAGCATTTAGAATTATCTCTTTCCTTGTACATCTTCTGCTCATTATGTTTGTCTGAGTTTAACAATCTATTGTCCTGCTAATTCGAAGCTAGTTCATCATTTTGGGTTTCATGGGACCTTGTTTTTTTGGTTCAACAGGGAGTATCTTCCCATGGGCGGAAGTATGAATATGGTTGAGGAAACACTAAAATTGGCTTATGGGGAGAATTCTGAATTGATTAAAGACAAGCGCATTGCAGCTATTCAAGCTCTCTCTGGAACTGGTGCATGTCGTATTTTTGCAGATTTTCAAAGGCGATTTCGCCCTGAGTCGCAGATTTATATCCCAGTACCTACCTGGTCCAAGTGAGTGGAGTCTTTTTACTCTTGCAAGGGATCAATGGAGTTTTCTTGATGCTTTTGGCTACTTAATTTAATTGGAGAAGTTTTGCTGTTAATTTGAATGTTGCCGCTTTTCTTCATAAGTTCATAACATCATATATTGGCAGTCATCATAACATCTGGAGAGATGCTCAGGTCCCTCAGCGGACTTTCCACTATTACCACCCAGAGTCAAAGGGGTTGGACTTTGCTTCAATGATGGATGATATAAAGGTACTTAAGCACATTGCATTTGGCTCTTTTGGATTGTTTGTTTTTTGTCATCGAAGGGTTGTTAACTGTGCCCCTTGTGTTCTGCTATTTGTTTGTATTTTTTCAGAATGCACCGAATGGATCTTTTTTCCTGCTTCATGCTTGTGCTCATAATCCTACTGGAGTAGATCCTTCAGAGGAACAGTGGAGAGAGATTTCTTACCAGTTTAAGGTCTTTACTCTAGAACAACTAATACTTGTGCTTATATCCTCACTTTTCTTCATTGGAGAGTAATGTATTTGTTTTTAGGCCAAAGGGCACTTTGCCTTCTTTGATATGGCATATCAAGGTTTTGCCAGTGGCGATCCAGAGAAAGATGCTAAATCTATCAGGATCTTTCTTGAAGACGGACATCTGATTGGATGTTCTCAATCCTATGCAAAGAACATGGGACTTTATGGCCAGAGAGTTGGCTGCCTGAGGTGAATGAGAAATTTGTTCATTGTCACTTTTAACTTTGCAATTATTTTCTTTTACTCTAATATTGCTAATTCTGAAGCTACATGTCATTAATCGATAAGGCTTAATCTTGCTATTAGTAGCTAGCTTGAGCCAAATCAGGAAATAAATTTGGTAGTCTTACAGATGTTTTGCAAACCGAAGCAAATCAACAATGAAACCATTTTCCAACTTCCTCTGGCATTTCAAAAAGTCAGAATTGGTCTTTTCTATGTAAACATTTTTCAGCTCGAAGATCTTTTGGATCATTTAACATATTCTTCTGTTGTCATGAGTTATGGTTCAATGTTTCTGTATATAAATAAATAAAATTGTGGTTCAAATAGATGATCAGTTCTCCAAAAGCATGCAATTTGAATCCCATCTTCTGAACACTTGCGTTTCTACTTACTACAGTGTGGTTTGCGAGGATGAAAAACAAGCCGTCGCTGTGAAAAGCCAGCTCCAGCAACTTGCGAGGCCCATGTACAGTAATCCACCCGTGCACGGTGCTCTTATTGTTTCTATTATTCTTAGTGATCCAGACTTGAAGAAGCTATGGCTGAAGGAAGTAAAGGTATTGTTGTTATTGATCAACTTTACGACAGGATATTGTTAAAAGTTCCATGTCTAGCTTAAAACTTATTACATTTCTTCTGAGCCCACATATAGGAACAACCCCTTCCCCCCCCCCCCCTCATTTCCGCCTCGGCGAGCTCGAATGGGAGGATAGGAGTCAACCATGTCCTATTCATCGATCTTTTCCTTCTTTATTTTTTCTCTTGTGATTGGTTGATGTACTTCATTTTTTCTGTTTTATGATGCTATACATGGTTATTGTATCTCAACCGATTTTTTTCTTTAGGGTATGGCCGATCGTATTATTGGAATGAGAACTGCTTTAAGAGAAAATCTTGAATCATTGGGATCATCTCTCTCCTGGGAGCATATTACAAACCAGGTAGTTAATTAAACAGGAACTTCTGTCTTTAAATTTCTTTGAGTTTTGCTAATATTATTGTACAAAGAGAGGGTGGGAAGGGACAAAGCAGAGGGAAATAAAGAGTTCTGTTACTGATGCTCAATCACATGGTGCAAAAACAGATTGGCATGTTCTGCTATAGTGGGATGACACCTGAACAAGTTGATCGTTTGACGAATGAATTTCATATCTACATGACCCGCAATGGTCGCATCAGGTATACCGCCCACTTCTAAAGTTAATGATCATAATTTTATGATCGCTTTTACTATTTTAGATTTGCTCACTTCTAAGAAATTATATGCAGTATGGCTGGAGTTACCACCAAAAATGTTGCTTATTTGGCGAATGCAATTCATGATGTTACAAAATCACCATAGGAATTCGACTCTGAAACATACACGTCATCAATAACCAAGCAGAGGGCTGCGGGAATTTGTAGGTTATCTGCACCAATTTGAGTTTTTCGGTCTTCATGAGAACTGCTCTGGGGAAAATACGAGATTCTGGCAACACCTATTTATTCTGAATAAAATCTGGTGTATGTTAATGATTGATTCCTCCAATTTTGGCGCTTTTTAATCTAGGATGATTTAATGTCTGTTGTAAAATCTTAGGTGATGGAAACTTCCGTGTTCTGAGATGGTCTGTACCTTGTTGCAACTTGGTGCAAGAAAATTTAGCTGTTCATCTAAGTTACTTTCTGCTTATTGATATCCATTAGAGAGTCATACATTTTCAGCTGTATCTAAACATTGCATAACTGATTTTGGTAAAAAAAAAAATGGTTACAAACCTAATGTTGCAGTGGATTTCCGTAATCATTCCTTGTGCCCATTCCTTATTTGTTGCCTTTCATCAGTAGCAGACTTGCAAAGTGTTCTTTTTATTCCACCGTCAAGATAGCCCTCCTAGCAACAAGGTCATTTTGATATGCTAGTGGCAATAAAAGTCCCATTCGAATCGCACTAGCTCGAGGTTGTCGTTCAAGTAATGGTAGTTGCACCAGTCGCTTGCATCATATTCTTTCTGCTGAAAAACAAAACAGAGGTAAGTGCCAATTCAAGCTGTATCTTTTCCCCTGAGCAAAACAGCAGAGAAGTAGTTTGGCTATTTGTTTAAAAGAAAGTCAGCAGCACTTTTTCTAAACTTGGTAGGAAAACTCACTCTCAGATGACAGGGTTCGTAGATGGAATCTACACCCATTTCAGAGCTCTCAGACATAAAAATGAAACGAAGGGACATTGTAGGTCACACAGTTTGTCAGATGGTTAAAGAGGTTTTTAACTGTGGGCGGATTAATCCAGAAATCAACCATGCGATGATAATACTTATACCGAAGGTAAGCCCACCTGAAAGGTTTCAAAACCTTCGTCCCATTAGTCTGATCATCTCAAAAAAAAGATGATGCCTATCCTCATTTTCAACTCTCAAACCAGCTTCATCAAAGGAAGAAACATCATCGACAACGTAATCATAGCACAAGAGGCAATACACACCATGCGTACTTCGTGTGGGAAAAAAGGATGGATGGCCATCAAAATCGACTTGGCAAAGGCTTTTGATCGAGTGCAATGGGACTTATAGAAGACACTCTGAAAGACGCAAAAATTCCACCATATTTAGCTAATGTCATCCTCAACTCACTCGAAACAGGATCAACCCAAATCCTTTGGAATGGGAAGATGGGAGAAGTTTTTAAGCCGAGCAGAGGGGTCCGTCAGGGTGACCCCTTCTCTCCCTATGTATTCATTCTATGCATGGAAAGACTTTCTCACGCAATCAATATTAAAGTCAATTTTAGGAAATGGAGGCCCATAAAATTCGGTAACAATCAAATTTCACTATCTCATTTATTTTTTGCTGATGATCTTATACTTTTTGCAGAAGCAGATTTCGATCAAGCCCGAACCATCCGGGAAACCCTCCACCACTTTTGCAAAGCATCTGGGCAGATGATTAGCACCGGCAAATCAGTCATGTTCTGTTCGGCCAATGTAGACAATGGACTAGCGACCTCCCTCAGCCAAGTCCTTGATGTTCAGTTAGTAAACAACCTAGGAAAATATCTAGGCGTCCCATTAATACATGGTAGAATTAAAAAAGACTCCTTTCACTCTCTGATTTGCAAGGTTAAACAGAAAACCACGGGATGGAATCCCCATAAAATCAGCATGGTCGGGCGACTAACCCTCTGCCAATCGGTACTTGCTGCTCTTCCCATTTATTTAATGCAATCACAGGTTATCCCCAAAGGTGTCAGTGACGACATCGACAAACTGAGATGGAACTTTTTGTGGGGTGCAAAGACAGGGGAAAAGCGAATGAATTTGGTGTCCTGGAACAACGTCTGCGAGCCCAAAAAACATAGGGGTCTGGGCCTGAGAAAACTTAGAGACGTAAATGTCTCTTTTGTGTTGAAATTAGCCTGGGAGCTAATCTCACGAAGGAAGTCCTTATGGACGGACATCTTTCAAGCAAAATATGCTTCAAATTCCTTCCAACAAGTCGGGAAACTGTCCCACTTGGGCAAACAGATCAAGAAAATTTGGCATACTGCAACAAGTGGGATAAAATGGGTTGTTGGAAACAATAAAACGATCAACTTTTGGGAGGATTTATGGCTGAAAACCGGCCACTGCCTTGCACATTTAGCAACCACACGAGTCCCAACCCACCTCCTGCAACTCAAAGTGAAGGACTACATCGATCACCGTGGGAATTGGAACTGGGAAGCTATTCGACCATGGACCGACGAAGCAACACAGAGATTGATCATGGCGGTACCGTCACCAGAAGCACATTCCGGGCCTGACAGACCAATCTGGAAATGGTCCAAATCTGGAAAATTCTCTACTTCTTCGGCACTCAAGGCTCTTAACCTAAATCAATGGGAATCTGAAGATGACAAATGGGGAGCTCCGTGGCGCTTGAAAGGTCCAGAAAAAATAAAGATATTCATCTGGTCACTCTTGAAAGAATCTCTGCTAACCAATGCAGAGAGAAGACGGCGTCACATCTCCGATTCAGATGCGTGCCACTGCTGCTCCCAACTCGAAACTCTCCTCCATCTCTTTATAGATTGCATTAAATCTAAACAGACTTGGAATTATATCAATAGCAATTTCATCATTTTGGCTATAGTCTAATTGGACTCACTGGTTACTAGCTAACTTACATTCTTCTGTTTCCCAAGAAGCACATTCGTGGCCAACTACATTCGCTATAGCCTGCTGGAAAATGTGGACTGCAAGGAACAAGGACATCTTTGATGGCCAGCACATCAACCCCAGAAGCCTCTCCTTCTCGATAATGGCTGCAGCCAATGAAATCGCGCGATTCACAAAATGAGCCCAAGAATTCAGCCCTGCAAATTACCAAACTCAGCTCCAATATGGCAACCACCGCCTTGGCAGTGGATCCGCCTGAACACGGATGCTGCTGTCTGCACTGCTTCTAGAGCAGCAGGAGCAGGAGGAGTTCTAAGAAACCACGAAGGTCTCTGGATATCTGGCTACACTGCCAACATCGGCTCGTGCTCTGTCCTTGAAGCAGAATACTGGAGTGCCTATCTCGGATTAAAAGTGACTTGGGAATTGGGGTTCAAACAAATCCAGCTACAAATGGACAACACCAACGCAGTTCAAAATATAGAACATGAAGAGGACTCGTCTTTTGTATCCAGCAGTGTTCTACTTAGAATTAGATCTCTGCTCAAACTTCAATAGCAGGTAGAAGTTTCACACATAAAACGTGAGGGGAACGAAGTTGCAAACTCCTTAGCTAAATTAGAATTATCATGTAAACCGGGGTTACATATTTTGACATCACCCCCGAGTATAGCTCTTGACAAGCTATCTTTTGACAGCCCACATCTCCCTTTAAGCGAGGCTTTGTAAATCTGAGCCAAAGCTCCCTCAGTATAAGAAAAAAAAAAAAAAAAAAAACTTTCAATGAAATACTTAAATTGTGATGACAATTCACTAAAAAAGCAAATGACGGCTGGTAATGAAAAACAATACAACTAATAATAAATATCTAGTGCTCTCCCATCGCTTCTTCAGGGAATCTGCCTAACTGGACACACAGCATTACCAACTAGATGATCCCTACATTTGAAATCTTTGATCAAAAACAATGTACAAGAGATGGAGTTCCTTGATCTACAGCCATGACGAGTAGACAGATTCTCCAAAATTCACAGTTAAGTTGCAGATCCACTATGTGCATCATCTTTATGGGCGTGAAAAAACGGTGACTTGTCCAAACGCCCACCAAGGTAAAGCCATTGAAACCCAAATTGCCTTGCGTTCATGAATCCCCCGACTTTGTCATTCAATATTTGGTCCGCTTATGTTGCAGGATGAGGAAAGAGACCCATTTGTCGCCTAACATGCTCAGGAATTAACCGGTTGATCAATTCGGGAGAGGCTCCAGTCAACTGCAATGACCAGAAGATTATTAGTTTCATGGAGGAAGTCATGGAGACAGAAGAATGATAGCAGTCATGGAGAACCAAGAGAAAGATACTTAATCTTGGAAAGACTCCACCCTTGAGGCAAAGGAGTAACCTCAGAAGGGGAGAAATTCAAAACACCCCACCAAAAAAAAAAAAAAAAACACTAACAAACTAATGGCAACACGAAAAATTTATATACGTATTAGAGCTACTGCCAATCGAACACATCTTCATTTCTTCCCAGTTCAAATGGTTTTAACTAATGAATGCCAGGAAATTTTATCTAATAGCATCTCTGTCAGGACTTTTGACTTAGTTCTACTTGCCAATTGAGAAAAGTCATCAATTCCACCAAGAGTTCAAAACATTAGATCAATTTGCAATAACTAAGTGCTGAGATAAGTTATAGCAACACGTGCAAGGTTAACCATGTCGTCAGATATCAACTACGTCACGCATTGGAGTTCACCTAAAACAGATGTTAAGGAAGTAATAAACCAAAATAACAAAGAAAAGAATGTATAGGTAAGTGCAAACCAGATAGAAGGGGTTAGAAATCATACTTCCTGCTTAAAGTTGAACAGAGGTGGAAGAGGCCGACCATTTGGAAGGCGGGCATGAGGGTCTCTGAGCTCATCAAAGAAAGGATGGGCACATGCTTCTAACTGCAGTCAAACAGGAGAATATCTCAGAGATTGGTCACATTCAGAACCTCAGGACTGAAAAGATAACAGTATGCACAAAAGATTATCACCCGTGCTGAAACTCTTCAGATACATTGGCTGTCAGATTCAGCCATTGAAAGTGTCTTAAAGTAACATTTGTGATCTTAATATCTGTTTTAACTTTGATTTACCAAACCGTAAATGTTTACAAGTATGGTAAGGTTTTTCATGTTCATTATGTATAATCTTGATAGAAGATGACAAGTAAACAAACTCACAGCTGTGCAGCGAAGACTTGGTGAATATTGAAGGAGCCTGGAGGCCAGGTCAATTGCTTCAGGAGGCATCCGCTTATGGAAAACCTGTATGAGGAAAATTCGTTCTTCAGCTTCAATTCAAGCATTATTTACAGACAACAAGGAGAGCATAATTGCGCAAAAGAAATACAGAAAATGCTTTACCTTATGCCATGGATGTGCTTTAATTTGAGGAAATCTGAAATCCGTATAATCAGGATTCATGCATCGAATTTCTTCTCGAGTAGGAGTACCAAGCACCTGCAAGCAATTGCTGAATAATTACACCTATCTCATGAATGATTTGACACCAAGGGAACAAGAATACTTGGAATGCATACATACTTTGATAATCTCTACAAGTTGATCCACTGCATTTTCTCCAGGAAACAATGGCTGCATTGGGATAATGAGTAATTTCGAGTTAGCAGATACTACATACTGGAGCCAAAGATAAAACAAGGTATAAGCACTAGAATTTAAAGGACAAAAGTAAACCTGGCCCAAAAGAAGCTCAGCAAGGACACAACCAGCTGACCAGATATCAATAGAAGTTGTGTACTCCGTAGCCCCAAATATAAGCTCTGGTGCACGGTAATAACGAGAGCAAATATATGATATATTTGCTTCACCCCTCGTCTGAACAGAACAAATTTACAAAAAGTAAGAAAAATGCAGAGAAGAAAATTGCACCTGTTCTGAAGTTTTATACGAAATTGATTAACTAAAAAGACATCAACTAGTCCTTATTACATTCAAGCTAAAGACAGGAGTTTTTCTTCCGAAGACATTGAAGGAAAGCATCAATCAGCTTACCAAAACTTTTGCGCTTCCAAAGTCACAAAGCTTGACCTGGTGGGTAAGAGGATCAACCTGCAGAAACCACAAAAAGTAAGCAAATGAATGCAGCATCCAATCATAGCTACACAAGGGCTTAAGGCATA